GCATATGAACTGACAATTGATTGCACATACGTCTAGGAGGGTTGTTCAGCAAGCAACTTTCTCTCGGTGTAAGCTCGGTCACCAATATCAGTGAAAGCACGTGTGGGAAGCATTCCCATGCAACGCACAGTCTCATTCAACAGGGACTTCTGTTTTCGTCTATCGAATCGTCGAACAACATTGATTGCTGTGTTTCCCTATGCCTACGCCATTTCCACATGCTCAGCATTCTTCTTGTCAAGCACACCCTCATCCGCCGCATCTTCTCTCGAACTCAGCCGCGGCCCCTTTCTGAACAAGAGCTTGTCCCTGAGCGAGTCCTTCTCGAACAGCTCGTCCATCTGCTCCAGCGCAACACCAGCCGTCTCGGGGACGAAGAAGAACGCAAAGACCACCATAATGAAGCAGAAGGTGCCGTAGACGAAGTACGTGCCGAATCCATTGGTCCCCAGAGTGGCAAACATGCTCGGGGTCGCTTTCGCTACGACGAAGTTGAAGAGCCACTGGCTCGCCGTGGCCATGCCCATCATCAACGCTCGGAGGCGGGCGGGAGGGATCTCGGAGGAGTAGGTCCAGACGACGGGTCCCCAACCGAACTGCTGATGGTCAGTATCTGTTATGACTGAAGAAGGTGATCTTGAGAAGAGAAGCATCGTGTTCAAAGATTGAAAGCTCTCATCGCGACGTTGAGAGTAGGAGACGACTGAAGTGAGGTTTGACTTACTTGATAAACCTAGAAGATTGTCAGCACGTCAACTACGATAAGCACATTGCATGATGGCCACCACTTACTGCTGCAAAGATGTAGATGGCAACGAGTGCAACGTATCCCGGCGCGCTCACAGATTCCCCTGTCACCGGAGGATCGAAGCGGATGTAGAACCCAACATGGAACAGCGCCAGGCCCTGGAGCAAATAGAGTCAGCCTTGCCATCTGGTCAACATCTCACGACGACCTCACCTGAACGATTCCCGTCCACAGCAGACTTTTCCTTCTTCCAAGAGTATCCGTCACAAAGACAATGAAGATGGCGCACGAAACCATCTTGACGATACCGTACACGCCCGTCGCAAAAAGCCCAGAAGCCGACCCGGACAACCCAACGCTGGCGAAGATCCGCGGGCTGTAGTACGTCATGGCATTCGTCCCAGTAAGATTGGACCACATCATCAGCGTGATGCAGAGAAGGCTTCTCCTGCGGTACGACTTGATCGTGAAAGCCTCTCTCAACAGCGAGAACGACGACGCGTTGACCGCCAGGGCGCGCTCCTCCTCCAGTTGTCTCGAGATGCCGTCCATCTCCTGTACGATGTAGGGGTGGTCCGCGGGCAGGTTGCGCAGCTTGGCGAGGACGGCGAGGGCTTTGTCGGGGTGGCGTTGGGCGAGGAAGCGGGGTGACTCGTTGGCGAGGAGCATGCCCACGAGGAGGATGACGGCGGGAAAGGCTTGTAGGGAGAGGGGGATGATATACTGGCTGTGGCCTTTGATGTGGAGTAATGAGCCGTAGTTGATCCAGAATGCGAGCTGCTGGATCTTATTAGCATGTGAAGAACGATATGGGTTGACAAGGCGTACTGTCAAACCAGTTACAATACTCAGCTGATAAAGGCCCGTGAGAAGACCCCGAATGCCACGAGGCGCATTCTCCGAAACGTAGAGCGGGTTGACTGAAGATGCGATACCAATGGCCACGCCAGCAACGAGCCGGCCAACATACATGGCCTCGATATGCCCACTAGCAGCTGCCTGCAATGCAACGCCGACGAAGACTAGGATCGAGGCGATGATAAGGGAGAATCGTCGGCCTACTCGGTTGGCCAGCCACATCGAGAGCAAAGCGCCAGCGAAGGCACCGGCTTGGATGACTGACACAACGTTTCCCTCCAGACTGGCGAGAACAGCTTTCGGTTGGTCCATGAGTCCGTATTCCCTGCGTGGAAAGTTTATTAACAATGTCTCCTTTTGAGAGCGTGACAACCCACTTTTTGAAAGAGTCCATCGTCAAGACGCCCCCGATGATGCCCATGTCCATACCAAAGAGCAAGGCTCCGCCGCAGGCCTATCAAAGTTGTTATTCTCGGTGCTGTTCTGTGTCCATGGCGCTCAGAGCAACTTACCACGAGACTGATGAGCACAACTCGGGCATTGTAAATCTCGGGAGGATCCGATTTGGTCGCCTCATTGCGAACAATCTTCTGCAACAATCCCATCTCAAATTCTGCGTCAAACACTGCGTGAAAAGTTCGACGAAATCGGATTCAAAAAGGACAACCTGTCGAGTTTGGGAAAGACAACCTCGATGTTGATGAAACCCAATGGTTTTGACATCCGGATAGACTAAATAGGTAAATCGAAGGGCTGACATATCTCTTCATCCTTATCATCAACTCTCCTACGGTAATAGACAGCCGGCCAAGTCACAGACCTCGGGGTTCGATCAGAACCGGCGTCTCCTTGCACCCCGCAAGCTACCCCAGCCCGTCGACCCCACAACCCCAAATCCGGGGTATGGGGGACGACAGGCAAGCCGGAGACCTGTCGGCATGAGGATACCGAGTCAGACATTGGTTGGAGTCTTGGGGTGAGTTAGCGTCGGCTATAGATGGATGGTGGCGTATCGCACGCGGACTGGAGGATGGGTGTTGCTTGGCGTCCGCGTTGACGGCAGCTCTCGCCTGTCACCCCTGGGTATGGAGTGTTATGTGTACCGTTATAGCACCGCGTTGCTGAAGTTGCGTGCTTTCATGTCACTATCCTGGTATCTGCCGTGCTTGAGGCTCGCAGTGTTTGGTTTTCCCACAAATGAGATGCTCTAGATTAGTTTTTTCATCATGAAGATTACCAATCTGTCGGGTCTCGTTGGCGTTCGGAACTGTCTGCTCTCCATCACCGGTGACATTAATGCCAAGCTGACTTGGCGGGATGCAAACGAAGGAGTCTCCGGGGTTCTCTGGCTAGCAAATTGAGCGAGGCTTTCATAGCTGAGGCACTTCCCGATGAAATCGAGTAACAGCAGAGATACCACGCCAGCTTAGAACAAGAGGGCAGTCAGACACGTGTCACACTCTACATCAGAAACTATCGCGTCACGCTACGTGACAAAATATTTGTGTACGAGATTGATCAGGCTGTCCAAATTCTCAATGTCTCGACGGTTGAAAGTAAGTCTAGATAGTAGCTAAGGTGAGATAGAAGCGACATAAGCTCTCCACTAGTCTCGTGAACTTCTGGAACATTGCGAAAAGGATAACTCCTTTTTAATCTGATTTGTGCCATTCTACTTTATGTATATGCCAACAATCTTCAAGTATCCAAACTCCCATAGAGCATCGCCAACGCTCTTTGCCAAGTCATGTTTTACAACCCGTCGAGGGGCTTATAAACCTTCATCCAGCGCTGTGGCATATGATTAGCCCAATTGGTGTGAATATAGGGGTTACATCACCTACTCTATCATATGGCTTCTCGGGGTCGACGAACCGGAGATCCGTAGCCAAACGGATCCTCGCGTCAGGGTCTTTGTTCTTGCAGCTGGCGTGGACCATGTACGGATTGTGGAAGATGACGTCGCCGACCTCGTATCCCGCGATCAACCATTTTCTCTTCGTCTCCTTGCCGTATGTCACTGTGTCTCGGCTGAGAAAGCCGCCGTCGTTCATGTTCTTGTTAAACGCGCTGACACGCTCCTCGTCAGTCAGGTTATGCGCGTTCTTTGCAAAGTCGTCCTCGGTCTTCATGCCAATATCAGTGGATCCCTCGAGGTACATCAAACCGCCACCCTCGAGCGACACCGGCCCGATGGGTACCCAGGCGGTCAGACTGGTTGGAGGACCGGCGCGGAGATACATTTGGTCGAAGTGGACTGGTGTAAGCTCGCTGCCGGGAACAAAGGCTCGAAGCATGGTGCGTTGGAGCATATGGGGAGACTGCCAGTCGGTGAAACGGCTGACGAACTGGCGCAACTCGGGGAACTTGCAAAAGTTGATGTAAAAGTCGGCCTCGTGCGCTGACACCATCAGCTCAGCGTACTTATCGCTCTCCGGATCATCTTTGAGGCCAAACAGACGGCGAAGGTTACCGGGAGGCAGGTATTTTTTGGTGTCTTTGCCAGAGAATGTGCCTTCGGCGGGGTCGGTGCCGGGACGGAGGAGACCGCTGGGGCTCATGTGTGAGAAGTATTCGCGACGGCACTTCAGAACCGGATCGTGGGGAAGAAGATCTTTGATCTGTTGTTCCATATGTCAGAAATGTTTCAGGTATTCAAAATCCAATTGCTGTCAAAGGACATACGAGCAGATATCCATCGCGCTCGAAGCGCTCCCGCATCACGTTGAGGGGGGTATCACGTTGGGTAGGCTGGAGGTATCCAATCGAAGCGGGATCCATGGGCCCAAAGTTGGACTCTAGACTCAGGGTCTTAGGATCGGCCGGGAAGTAGTTGCCGTAGATGTCGTTGTTAGGGTCGTACGCTTCATGGTGGTCCAGCTGTTTGACCTTGTGCGCTGGCAGCGAAGCTGGGGCTTCGGACTGGAGCACTCCGGGCGCCATGATGCTTACTTAGGTATGCTGTGTATAAAGGAGATGAAATGGAATGCAAGTTCTTATGCTTTCGGATGTGATGGAATTATTTTGGAACCGCTATTACGACTTGAACAATGTGAATGATCGTAGCTGATTATCGTCTCGCTTTATACGGCCTCGTTCGGCTTTTCTGATGCAGTAAACCAAGAACTTATTGCCACAAGTCCTGAAGATGCTAAACCAAACGAACCCATTCTGCCCAATGACGTCCTTTCCATAAAGCCTGACTGTTCAACAGCCAGGTCGAACATCCTCGGCCGTCTGCTGCCGTACCCCGCGTCGACCCCACCGTCTTTAGTCGTCTATAGCCGGCGCTCGGCCATCTATAACCGTCCCCAGACCCCCGCATCGGTCGTACGAGCGGCCCCAGGTTCTCACGCTCACCACCCCGTATTTTCCCCGGACCGGAACCTTGAACATGACCAAAGCGACCGGTGTAAGACAATACCGAGCATGTGTTAGGTGTCGCGCGCGCAAGACGCGTTGTGATTTGTGGGTCCCTCCGCCTTCCGGCCGATCGATTTCCCCAGCAGGGATGATATCTAGAGCTCTGGTTGCGGTTCACAAGGCGTTCTACCGAAGATTTTGGTTGTTAACTAGCGTTACAGAGACAGCATTGGCGAACGGGGAAGACCGCCGTGCGCAAAGTGTGTCCGCGAAGGAGTCGACTGCTCCCTAGCTGGGTCGCGACGTGGCGGCGACTACTCCCAGTACCGAGGCAACAAGAGGCAAAGACGTGATATTGACGTTGCCACGGCGCCCTCGGTGGTTTCCGTGTCATCTTTTGTCCCTGAAACAAGTGTAGAGACGCCAAAGCCTCGAGAACAACCACTGCATCGGTCCCTGCAGAATCCCTCTGATGCCCTGCTGATCCTTGCCCGAGCGGCGGAGGACGGGGATGATGATGAGCCAGGAGATGCCGGACTCAACAAATCAACACCTGGAAACGCATCTTCTATCTTAGACTCGATTCTGTCTCCGGGACAGCAAGCCCGGACTGACCAGCTGTCGTCTTTAGCGTCGCCTGGAAACCAGCTTACAGCGCATCAAGCGATTGAAGAGTATCATCCTGTCAAGGAGGGCGCTTTGGATCTAGTCACCCTCCAAAATCTCATAAGACAGTAAGTCTACAGTCCAATTACAAGAGACTGAATCACTCACAGAAGCAAGTTATGCCGATAACTATCATCCATTCTTCCCGATCGTTCCCGCCAATGTGCTTATGCCACAGTTCCTTCCCGATACCATCAAGCACGAATCGTTCCTTCTCACAGCCGCTCTAGTAGTGGCTTCAAGAGATCAGTCCGACCTGACCGAGCTTCATCAGTCAATATGGCAACACATGCGACGTCTCATCCTCGATGTCGTTCTTGGCATGTCCACAATACGCAGCGTAGGATCTGTGGAGGGGCTCCTGATTCTGGGAGAATGGACTCCGCTTACACTGGGACAAAATGATGACGGGGGAGAAGGTGCAGCATGGTCGATATTAGGGCTCGCTGTCAGGCTTGCGTACTTGCTACGACTTGAAGATTCCTCGTTCAGGGCAGACAAAGAAGCTGACCCAGCATTGCTAAGAAGACGGCTGGCATGGACATGTCAGTCACACCTCCTTCTACTCGAATTCTCTTCAAAGTTCGCTTTACTGACTTCAATCCAAGTTACATACCTGTCTGATCGCCAGATCTCTATCCGCATGGGCCAAGCTTTCTGGAGCAGAGGACCGGCTCTATCTGCGCGATTCACAGCTGACGACTTCCCATCCCTACAACCACAGTACACCTCAGGGGAAGATTTTGCATCTCTACTACAGGCACAGGTTGAGTTGACAACTTTGTTCGGGAACGCCCACGATATTCTCTTTGCATCAAAACAACGTACTGGAGAACTAATGACCCGGGGTGATTACACCAAGTACATCGATGATGCAAGCCGCGCCATTGTTGCGTGGGACCTCGTTTGGAACGGACTCACATGCTCTAAGCATCTGAAGTCATGTCTCAAGATGACGGAGAAGTATCTTTGTCTTTACGTTAACGCTTTCGCCTTTCAAGCTGTTCTCTATCGGGCATCGACATCCGGCACCCAAGAAGTCTCAAAGTCGGCATGCTTCCCACATTCAGCTATGGCTAGTCCCGATGCTCGTCATGTTTACGAGGCTGTAGACGCTGCAGAAGCTCTATTGAGGATTGCTATTGAAGATATTGATGCCGAGAAATATCTGCGGTACATGCCCGCTCGGTTCTACTTGTGAGTGTCCGATCTTTTGCTTGCTTGGAGACCAGAGCCACCACTAACAGCGTCAATCAGATACGAAATACATTCGTCTGTATTCCTTTACAAAGCACATGCATCTGGCGCTATCTCATCCGGAAAACATGCCCAGACAGCAGACTTGATGCGACGATTTATCGGAGTACTCGATATCGCAGCCACAGACGCAGATCATATCGCCGCGAAATATGCGAAGCTCCTCAATGGTCTCTGGTTCCATCGGTCGGATTCATCTGCAGATTCAACAAGGAAGCGGAATTCCCGTAGCAATGCCCATTCAGATGAGCTCCAAGAAGTCAACGCTGTGCAGACTTATTCAAATGAAGTCGACGATGCGGACTCGAACCATCTGCCTTCGTTCGACGAGATTGGACTACAGCCACTGGACTGGATCGAGTCTGTTGAAGGACTTTTCTCTATGCCGGCTGCTTTCCCTTGGGATCAGCCAATCTTTTGAGATTTCTGTGTAAGCGGCTGCGAGTGAGGCCTGGTTGGGTAAGGTGGCGCCCAAGGGCATGTCAGCACTTAGCCTGTTACGATTTCCAACCTGATCAAGTTCATACATCCTGCATGGTAATCAATGATCGTGATTGGTCACCTCGCACCTGAAAAGGGACAACTATCGTCAAAATTCTTGCTGTCTTTGAGGGACTTTGGTAGACTTTCGCGGACTAGGGTTGAAAATAGCACTTTTTGGATCTGATATCGCCGGTCAATGGAAAACGGCCCATCTAGATGGAGCGGAGTAAAAAAAAGTCTTGTTCATCGGGAAGACTTGGACGATGCACGTTGTCATACCAAGCAAGCGTATGCACGTGAAGTTCATCGCCAGTATCAACAATCGTAAGCCGAAATAGCAAGATATAGAGGAACAATGCAATCTAGTTGGGTTTGGGGAATGTGGCGTGATGTCTCCATCCCCGTCAGGGTAGCTTGGTAGTTGGCGCAACGCGCCAATGGGGCATGCCGTGGTTGTGAGACACACTGCATGTGACGGATCTCACCCCCTCCCTTCCTTTCTTGCCATTTCTCCTTAATGGAAGAGTTCGAATCGGATCTCAACTTCAATCGTAATACTTTCCAATGGATGACGGTAACGCATCGGAAGTCAGGTCACCAGCGGGCCTGCCACACGTGTTCTACTCGAGCACCACGGTCCTCCATCTCAGCTGGCTGATACTGCCCTTAATCAGCATCCTGTTTGTCAGTAGGATATTCCGAAAGAAAGCAGCTGAGCCTCCTTCTTTACCAGAGCGCATACCCTACGTTTCCAACACGTATCAATACCTGACTGACAACCACGGGTTCCTCAAAAGAGCCGCAGAGGCACTAAAGAAGAGCAACATTGTCAAGTTCAACCTAGGTTCAGTCCCAGTGTATCTGGTTTCTGGCTCTCAAAATGTTCAAAGGCTCTTCCGGAACAGCGCTGGCAGCACTCAACTCAGCTCGGACAAGTTCGTTCTCATGGTCACAGAAAAGGTTCATGGAGTTGACCAACAAGATGCTAAACGATGGGCTCGCGACAAGACAGGCCGTTTGAAGATCCCCGCTCCCGGAACCGAGGATACTCCGGAGGACCAAAGGATATGGAGCGGCATGCATCATATCTTCACGGAGCACTTGTCGCGTGCTGAGCCGACAGCGAAACTGGCGCAGAACTTCACGGACTTCTTTGGAGAAAAACTAGAAAACCAGCCGCTGAATGAATGGAAAGAAGTGTGCCTCTTCCAGTTCTTGAAGAAGGACATGGCTGAGGCTGCTGTCATGACCTTGGCGGGCAGGCGGCTTATTGACAAATACCCTGAATTCGTCGACGCTATGTGGGAGTACGACAAGGTAGCAATGAAGCTGATGTATGGGTTGCCGACATGGATGAATCCTGGACCCAGAAAAGCGCAGAAAGAAGCATTAGATATGATGGAGACATTCTTACAGGACGCATGGGATACTTTCGATTGGGATGGAATGGAAGCGGATGCCGACTGGGAACCGACATTCGGATCCAGACTTCAGAGAGGACATGCCAACTTCTGGAGGGACAAGAAGTTCTCTATGAGGTCTCGTGCTGCGCAGCATCTAGGCATTCAATCCGGGTAAGCAACACGTGTGTGCGAAGTCTACATTCCGTACTGACTATCAGCAGATTCAACGTCAACAGCATTCCTCAGACGGCTTGGGTAATGATGGAGCTCGCGAAGAACCCATATCTGTGGAAGGCGGTGAAAGAGGAAGTGCAAGGAGCAATTGATCCCGATCCCGTTACGTCGAAGCCTGCGATTGATGTTACGAAGCTTTTGGCCCTGCCTTTGCTCCAGTCCGTCTACGCAGAGACTCTTCGTCTGCATGTATCGATCAATGTGACAAGAGAGGTTATGGAACCCATCGAATGGGATGGATACGTTCTACCGAAGGGATCTCTGGTCCAAGCCCCGACACAAATTGGCTTGCAAGATGAGTCCGTGTGGGGAGTAGAGGGACATCCAGCGTCGAGTTTCTGGGCAGAAAGACACATCAGATATGTTGATAAGGAGGATGACCTTGGGCATGTCAAATCGATGATGGAATTCTCCATGGCTGGCAGGCCAAGCGACTACTTTCCATACGGTAAGCATCACTATCCATAATAGTTCGGCGAGGACTAACACAGGACATAGGGGGCGGCGTCTCAATGTGCCCTGGTCGGTTCTTCGCAAAGCAAGAGATCATGCTAGTCGCTGCTATGATCATCTCCAGATTTGAGATTGAGTTTATCGAATGGGTGACTTTTGATGGTGTTAGTTCGGATCGGCCAGCGCAAGACGAAAAGTCGGCAATTGGGTCAGGTGCCGTGTCACCCGATAGAGACATGAAGGTGCGCTGGAGAAGGACCCAATAGGCTCTGCAAGACTCGAGTCGTATAGATGCACAGCTCGTTCTTGATTACATGTCAGCCTGACCAGCGCATAGTTGAGAAGTTGCTCGGATCATAACGCTCATTGTTAAGTTCAATGTGGACTGGTTCCATTATGTCATGCTCATTATGACTACCTAACTAGAAGTACATGATGGTATACAAAACACGCTATTCATAAACCCAAACACTCTTATTAGTTCATGCGGTACACGGCATCCTTCTTGAAGTAGCGGCTGATGTCATTGTCGTTGCCGCAGTGGGAGCATGTATGCATGACCTTGGCACCTTCGTGGCCTGGGCCGTAATGGTCAGGACCCATACCGGAGGGAATAGAGGATTGAAGCGAACCTTGGTTGAATGGGGGAGAACCATTGCGTCCACCGACAACGTCCTTATCAGCACCAACTCCGTGAGTGGTAGGAGACTCGTTGTAAGGGTCCAGCATGCTGGTTCTAGGAACACCAGGCTCGCGGCCGGTGAGTCCGGAACCGGAAGTGCGAGAGTAGTCGTCAACGCCGCTGCGGGTGGTGTTGGCGCCGTAGCCAGATTCGCGGATGTCATCGTGGTGGTGTCTGCGAGAAGCTTCGGTGGCAGCAGCGCCAAGGCCGGCTCCAGCAACACCGCCGGCAATACCGTGACCAGAGCGCTCATAGCCCATATCCCTGTCTCTCATCCTAGTGTCGTAGGGGTCGTTGCTGTGAGCCCCGATGAGGGAAGGGTTGGTATGCGTTGCGTGCTGGGTCTGGGCGCCAGGACCCGTGTTGCCGGCGTGACCGGTGTGAGTGAAGTGAGATCCCTCAATAGAGCGGTCCACGTTGGAGGTGGGATCGTGGTGACCAGCAGGAACGTTGGGGTTGTAGACGCCACCGCCAACAGCCTCGGGACCCTGGCCTCTAAGGCGATCGTTGGCGCCGTACTGCTCGTTGGGACGGTGAGGGAGATCTTTGTTGGCGCCGTAGGGAGCTCCACGACGATCACGGTCGGAGTCGACGCGAGGGTCAACAGCGTTAGCAACGCGGCCCGAGTGAGGGCCGTGAGTTCCCTCGGGATCGTCGTAACCGGTGCGAACATTGGAGTTGTTCAGGCCAGTGGTACCGTGAGTAACGTGTGTACCATGAGTGGTACCAGTGACACCAGTGCCAGGCGCACCACGGTGGTCACGGTCAGAGTCGACACGAGAATCGACCACGTTGCTGGTGCGGGTGTTGTGGGGTCCATGAGTTCCGGAAGGATCGTCGTAGCCGGTACGAACGTTGGAGTTGTGTACGTTAGATCCGGTCAGACCGGTACCAGGAGCGTCCCGGTGGTCGCGGTCGGAGTCGACACGGGGGTCGGCGAGGTTCTCGGCACGGTTGCCGTGAGGGCCGTGGGTGCCGGCGGGATCATTGTAGCCTGCACGAGCGTTAGAGCCGGTCAGGCCAGAAGAATCCGCGCTACCGATCACACCATGGCTCTCACGGCCCATGGAGCCCCAGTACGGGTTCTGTGTGTCTTGCTCACCGGTACGGTTGTGTCCATGACCAACATCGATGCCGGAGTCGGTAGTGCGGTGGGTCTTGCCGGTAATGTCTCCGATAGCTCCGCCGTGGGTGTTGCCCGTCAGGTTGCTGGTGGGGCTGTGACGTCCGGTGCCCGTGGTGGTGGTAGTGTCCTTTCCGTTCAGGCCCGAAGTACCAGCGGTGCCGGTTGTGTTGCCGGTCGTGGTATGATCACGGCCGTCTGTCAAGTTTGTGTGCTTGGTGTTTGCGGTCTCGGAGGGAAAGCTCCCGGGAGGCTTGTCGTTCTCGTATGTGGAAGACTTTGGGGGGCTGTCATGATGCAGCGCATCCTTGATCTTCTGTCCGATACCCATGATTGCTGATTATAGTAGTTGAACTTGTTTGATGTCTTTGAATCTGCTGTTCCAATTTCAAGGAATCATAGCTTTGGCTGCGGGATCCTGGGCATCAAATACTCGTCGTTGAGCCCAGGTGTTCGTCCATCGCGAGCGGATGTTCGTTGTGATGTCAGAGCTCCAACGCTGGTCCAGGCCAAGCTGCGGCCTTGCCGCCCAGACAAAATGTCACCAGTCCATGTCTCGCGGGATTGCGATTGTGTTGCTATGAGCTCATGTGGGGTTACTGCTGGCACTCATTCGCGGACAATCCTCAACTTCCCGGCCAGCAGCTAAGGCACCACATCGTCGCTAGAAGCTCATCGAGCATCGGGAATAAGAAGGTACGTCAATGACGACGAGGGAGGGATTCATGACGTGAATTTGCGGGGACTCGTGAGCCTAGCCCCAGCCGCTCCCGCGGTAGCGGGAGCTTGTCTTGGGCTCCGGCACACGGATCCGATGATCTTCGCCAGAGAAAACAGGGAAACGGTCGCTCCACCAGTGAGGCGACGGGCCATTGGCAGTCGTCATTTGGGGTGTGCTCAGCGCAAACACCCGCCACACGTTTGCGTTACCCCAGAATTTCAGGTTTGTTGGTGGTTGGTATTACGGTGGCTTTGTCGTGTGGCGTTGTCTGACGATTGATCACTGCCGGATCTTGCCCTATCTAGAGGCAAAACGTCAAGAGGACGACTTTGGCCGGCCCAGACTGTTAATTACTTGCGTTGGCAATGACCAGTTGCAGGGGCTGACGCGTCTTGTGTCTTTGATTTGCTTCTTTGCATCAAAGCGGGCATCGGAGATGGCTCAGTGACGCGGAAGAAGACAACGGTAGCAACATGACGACGTTCCTGCTTGGGCCATATGATGGGCCTGTTTTCACAACATTGACTTATTTTCTCCTGGACTTCCCAATGTTCTATCCTATGTGAATGACCCTCGTTACCTCTGCGCTTGACGTTTGAAGTGGCATGGCGGGACTGGCAGATTGCCTGTTGCTGTTGCCTACGGCTATGACACGGCGATAGCAGGTGATGGGCCTAAGACCGTCCTGTCTCTCTTGGGCCTCTCCTTGGGCTGTCTCTCATGTCTTCCTTGCTGTGCCTGCTGAGAGGTTCCTTTTACCAACTGTTTCCCCAACAGTCATGCGGGCGCATCGACAGGTCTGTCAACTGGTTGTTTCACTCCACGTCTTTATTGTCTGTATAAAGAACGCCGGGTCCATGCAAGCTTTTGGCGCTTAGCTGGGCTGAAGGGACGATCATTTCCGACTCTTGGCTGTACAGCCACATCTGAGGCTGCTGACTGCAGCTGAATTGGGGAATCCTACGCTAATTTTTGGGTGAGCCCAACCAAACCACAGCCCGCAAAATCATAGCCCCTACGACGGTGGCTTCAGTGGATTTCATAGCTCGGGCATGGCCTGTCGGGCGAAATGAGCCCCCAAATAAGTCTAAGTAAATTGCGGTAGCCTAATGGGCAAACAAAGGAGATGATGAGCCATAAAGACTGTGTCGTCCTGTCACCGCGCTGCGTTTGAATTGCCAAGATATGTGCATTTCAAAATACATACAAGCCTACGTGAGCCATTATTACACCAACAAGAACACGATGAGCGGACGTGGACCAATTTCGAAACTCATTGGCGGAGCGGTCGATTTTACGAAGGAGTATCGAGCGGACCAAAAAGAACGGAAAGAAGCCCGCGAGAGAAATGAACAGGCCGGGGGTTCATCGAACACGTCTACTACTCAAAAACACCAAGATGCACTCGTAGACGAGTCTTCTAGTGACGACGAGGAGCACTGGGCTATTGAGCTCGACGAAGCTCAACAGCGTCAACAGCTGGGTCAATCTCATCAAGCGGACGATAACACCGATCCTGAAGAGCTTCTGCGACGGTTCATCGAACAGCACCCACCCCCGCCCTACGAAGCGGGCCAGCAGACTCACGCACTACCCATGCCCGTCATTCTCCGACAGCGTCGACCAGAAGCCCGCCATCGCGGTTTTGTGAGAGCCTACGCGCCAGTGCTCAATGAGTGCGGCATCGAACAGACAGCGTGGCTGGAGTTTCTCAACGGGTTCGAAAAGAGCATCAAGTTAAACCCATGATTCAATGTCTTGAACGCAGGGGTGATGGTTGCCGATCACGCCCACATGGCAGTTTCGGGCTTCAGCCCAATCGCAATGCTTGTCACTTTCGCAATTCACACGAGTCTCGAGACTTCACGCAGAACCTACGTGAACTACAGGCAGAACGGATATCTCGACACCATGAATGAGAAATTCTTCAAGCCTCGCGGTCTGTTTTGTCTCATTGTGAAGTACAAGCCTTCGAGCACGGAACTTATCGAGGACATTGATCTCGAACACAACATCGCAAAGGCTGTCGATGACAGAGATGGGCAGAGCAAGTGGAAAAACGCCGTGCGCTCAGCCTCCACGACGACAAAGAGCGAGGTAGAGATCCCAGAACCGGCACCTCTTGTTTTTCCGCATCTGGATGCTCTGGACGAGGGGAAGAAGCAGAACGCAGTCAAGGAATTCGGGCAGTTCGTGTCCACATATTTCGATCGCAGGGCTGCCTCCCACTTCCAGGCACAGCACCCCGATTCCAAGATTCCGCAAGCCCCACGACTGCAGCAAGGCAACCCGAGCACTTCGTCAAGTAGTGGGGGGCTCCTCTCAAGGCAACGGGTGGGAAAGTTGTTGGGCCTATTGGCCACATTCAGCAAAGGCGTAACGACCGCCGCGAGGAGTTGGGCATCGATCGCAAGGTAGGAAGGCAGGCCAGAAGGGAAAGGAGAAGAGAGCGAAAGAAGAACAGGCCGTTGAAGAAGATGATGAAACAGGACGCCCTCTACTTGATGGTAGTGAATCTACCTACCCAAGAAGAGATGGATGCAGTGGCGGCCCTTAGGCAAAAGTGAAACTTGGAAATGCTTGAGAATACTACGGTTAGGATGTCGTCTAATGATCTAGAAAATTCTGTGCTATAGCTTTAGTGTCAATGCTGCCCAAGACCTTGGCGTCTCTGGTCTCTTGAGAGTCTGAATCCTCAGTAATGGCATCGAGAATGCGGGATCCCTCGAACTTGGCTGCAATTTCTTCCAATTTGAGACCCTTAGTCTCAACGAATGTGAAGTAGGCAACGACGAGAAACAACAAATTCCATGAAGCGTTGATTAAATAGAATTTCCAGCCCAAGTCTGCCATTGCATAAGCCATGCAAAATGATGCGAGCAGCCTGCTTTATGTCAGCAACAGACACTTGGAGAGGTAGTTGCAGTCAACGAACCCGAAGCCAGCATCCAACATGCGAAATATGGCGATACCAGTGGCGCGAAGCTTGTATTGAGAAACCTCGGTAGGATGCGAGCTGGTCATTGGCGTGATGGAAAAGGCGTAAAAGCCTTGAAAAAGGAAGATTACGGCAATCGTGCCATATACTCCTGACTGGTTGGTACTTTCGCCATACTCTGGTGTCACGTTAGCAACAATGTAATGGTGGCTGGAAGCCGGGCTGGCTCACTTTTGATCAGACCTCCGATAATGTAGAGATTCGCAGACATGCCTGCGATTCCAATGAAGCTTTGGATTCGCCGCCCGAGGGCGTCAAGCATAAAGCTATCAAAGACAGCCACCGCAAAAGACCAACAGTTGAGAATGACTTGGATCTGAGTTTGTTTGACGGTGTCTTTGATACCCGCCTGATCAAGAATCTTCGTGAGGTAGAACCTGCAAAAGTTAGCAAGGCCATGGACCCGGAACAACACCGTGGTGCAGCATACGAGATGATGAAGTTGCCAAACATGTTGATCATAGGACCAAATGTGCAAAGGATGGCAAGTCTTCTCCTGTTGGCTGGTGTCGCGAAGATTTCTCTCCAAGGATTTCGAGGATACTCCTCCTCTTCCTTCTTCATGATAGCTCGTATCTCGTGCAGGTTCTCCCGTCCCTGTTGCATGTCTTCGACCCCCTTGCCTTGCATGATGACGAGCACCTCCAATGCCTCATCATCCCGCTTGTTTGCAATGAGCCACCGGGGAGATTCTGGAACAAAGGGAACCAGAACGACAGCGAGAAGGCTGGGTACGAACTGCAACAGCGAAGGTAAGCGCCATGACCAGGTGCTGGCGATGTTCTGGCTTCCGTAGTTCACGATAGCAGAAGCAAGACTTCCAACGCAGAAGCAAGACTTCCAACGCAGAAGCAGGAAAAGAACAGTCCCAAAATACGACCGCGTTTGTGCGGAGGAAGAAGTTCGCCCAGAAGAGTGGGTGCTGCGCCGTTGCTCACTGCAGACCCAATGCCGACAATTATGCGAGCGACGACGAACATGGCAATGTTCTGTGCTGCAGCTTGAAGGATGATGCCGACAACTGTAATGACTGAAGCAACAAGAATGACTCGTCGGCGGCCAAAGTAATCCGGAATCGGCTGCATCAAGAAAGCTCCCACGATACTACCCATCCATGATGCTGCATTATTGAGGCCCTCGGTGGCAGTCGTCAAGTGAAAGTATTCAGTGTAGGACGGCAGGATGAGTAGTCCGTTCATGACAGACGCATCGTACCCAAGTGTCTACCGGATATTTGTCAGTGAAAAACTCTATTGGTATGGATTCTCAAGTCGAATACCTACCGCAGAGTTGATGATGGCAACCGCGAGCAACAGCGGAGACAGCAACTTCAGGTTGGCCGGTACCAGCTTCGAGACATGTTTACGCTCGAAACCCATCTCGTGAGTGGCTGGATCCAATCGTTCGAGATTCGTATCAAATCAATCGAGGACAACAAGCTTGCAAAAGACTTTTGGATCACTCCTTCCAGGTCCTTATATTCCGTTAAGTATGAGGAGATCTGATTTGTGATTATTAGATCCTGATTGGCTGTCCCCAGACTTCGGGCGAGCTCGGGTGAGCATATCAGAGGCCCACCACACCGACCCGGCATGTTTAGTGCGGCCGTTTTGGGTGGTATCGTGGGGATTCGCAGGGTTGGTGTTGAGTCTAAATACTCGCCCGAACTCGGGCGAGGTTTCTTGTTGCCTGCCGGTTGGAGGACGGAGCGTGGAGGAATAGACACATGCTGCAAAAACCAGGGTCTCTTTCAAGTGATCGGCAGATTTGCATGGAGAGAAGATAAGGTATTTAACGGCGTCTTGTCGCAAGCAAACGCGCAGTCGCTTACTACCTGCGTCTCAATTTGTTCTAGCAACGTCTTTCTTTTCCTTTGACTCTTTGGCTGCCGTTCAAAATGCCCGGTCAAGTTCGGGAGTGGCCCGCATGGGCTGAATATACGGAGCAAGGGGTGACCGAGTCGAAGGACCCCGACTTTGTCAACGTCAAAAAAAGCCATTATCGCTCACTACGGCGCTGAATCTTTGATAAAGAGTTGGCTAGCTGTGTGCCAACACCTCGAAACTGTCACTGAAGAGATCATCAGCAAGGGTCACGGCATAATACCTGTTCTTAATGCTGCAGACCTTTTGGAAAAGGGGTTCACGAGCGAGCAAGAGGCTGAAGTGAAGCGAATTGGGTCATTTGTGATTCGTGGACTTATTGACAAGTCAGAAGCGATTCACCACTACACTGACCTGAAGAAATATGTTGCCAACAATAAAGGAAAGATCCAAGGGTGGCCAGCAGAAAGTCCTTCGATGCTGATGTTGTATGACTCTCCTATCCAGAACGCCCTCCGAGGGGATCCAAACCATTTGAGAGTTCAGGGCTTGCTGAATGAACTCTGGCACAACTACGACGAAGAGACGTCTCCTGATCCATTGGTTTACTACGACGGCATTAGAGACAGACCACCAAGACAAAACTTCCTTGGCCTTGGCCCACATATTGACGCTGGCAGTCTTTGCCGATGGGCGGACAAGACGTATCGGGAGGTGTATGGTAACATCTTCTCCGGCAGGCCTCAGTTGCACGACTGTTACGACCTCGGCCTGCGGAAGGCCGCCGACCAAGAGCTGTACCCTGGCATCGCACATTCCTCCGTGTTCCGCTCTTTCCAGGGTTGGACAGCGTTAACAAGAGCGGCCCCGAACGAAGGGACCCTTCTTGTGTACCCGAACGTTGCGACCGTGGTGTCGTACGTTATGCTTCGACCCTTTTTCAAGCCTCCAAGAGACCCTGTGGATGTGATGGATGCGAGCAAGTGGACTCTGGATGATTCCACAAGCTGGTTCCCGGGAACGTTCAAGACGGAAAGCCAGCGCTTGAGTCGATCATCCCATCCGCACTTGAGACTCGAGGAATGCTTGGTGCATATTCCTACGATGGAGCCTGGGGGCACCGTTTGGTGGCACACTGATGTAGGTATCCATTTCGGACCTCGAATAATTTGAATACTGACTGTGGTCGTACAGGTGTGCCATGCCGTGGACCCAGAGCACCATGGAACGGAGAATGCATCTGTTGTATACATAGCTGCATGCCCATCAACCCCTAATAACAGGGCATATGTCAAGAGACAGCTTGAAGAGACTCGGGCGGGTCGGCCGCCACCGGACTATGCCGAAGGGAACGTTCTGGATGAGAGAACGCTTGAGGGATACGTAGGACTTGACGGGTTTGATGGATATGCGAAAACAGCGTTTGGGTTCAACTTGTGAGTTGGAAATGTCATCAAGACATTGGGTCATCCATATGCTTAATACAGTCGCGCAAGATGTCTGATGCGCGATCTGCAATCGCATTGCGGGACTTGACCTCATCGAGGTATCGGATGGCTAGTTGTACTTCGTCACTGAAGTCGACCTCGAGATCGAGAGACGCCCTACGAGACTCTCTCAGCAGGAATATAGCGGCGACAAATATATGCAAAGATAATGCCCTGCGTTACTAATGTCAGCTGGTAGCTTCTTCACAAGCATGATACCCATACCACTGTCTTCGCATCGCGACTGGTTGGTCCCAGTTATGTGTGATCCAGATAATATCCATCGCGGACCTAATGCAGACTGTTCTTGCCCACTCGTACTGCCCAGGAGACATCATCCACTTCTGTTGAAGCGCCCTATTGATGCGCATGCGATGATGGAGTAGCACAAGACTGATGTCAAACCGCTGCCATTTGATCCACGGATGTTCGATCTCTAAGTTCTGCATTCTCTCGTGCTTACCACCGTCTGGTTGCAGGTGCTCTGGTAAAGTGTTGATGACCTCTGCTAGCTCGTCATCAGCTAGTCGAACAACCTCTGCAATCGGCCGTAACCCCTCTCGCAATGCTGACCGAAAGCGATGGTAAACGATCGATGTTCGAGCCATGAAGATGTGGTACTGGACAGGTTGGATACCGCCAGTTATATCATGCTGAGGATCGCGCGAAGGGAGTGGAACATTGAAGTCACCTTCATCAACCCGTGGAACATGGTACGGAACCGCGAGCCTGACCCGTTCGTCAGCAAGAACAACCGTGGCATTGATTTCAGAACCTAGGTAACTTACCATTCGCATATCACAAGCGTCCACCGCAGCCTGCGCTGAGCCTCTTGACTCATTTCAGTTGGAACATCGTCGCCTCGAGATCCATCAAGCCCAAGGGTCTGCGCATTGCGAATGGCGCAGCTCCATAAATGTCCGCTCAGCTCGGAGTCGCCAAAATTGTAGAAGCACATCCCAAGTACTGCAACGGCTTGTACAATACGAATCTGGGGAGTGCGCATAAAGTCCGCCCGATACATGCAGAACAAGGCAGATTCGTACCAGTGTTGAATAACACGTGGGTGATCCTCTACATAAAAGGGTACAGCGTTAGTATGAAGATAAGTATTTGGGGTTGGTGAAAAGCCATCCTCACTTCCAGGCAGTATCAGGCATGCCTCCTCATCATCCATCATCAAAAGAGCTGCCTTGAGAAGCCTCGAATGTTAGCGGGCTTCTTAAACGGTGATTAGTTGCCAAAGGCCCACCGTAATCACACTAAAGTAGAGAGATAGCCAGGCCGGGTCGTAGTCTGATAGAAGATCGCCGTTCTTGAGAGCTCCCATGAATTTGGAATGCTCCTCCTGGAAGTTCGGATACTCGAGAGCATAGTGTACCCAAGAACTCCACGTCTTGTCATACGCAATAAGCTGCTTACTAGCTTCCTGATCGGGACAACACGAAGTAATCTCCTCCCAGCTTGACATCCGGCCCGAAGACTTTGGTCTTTGTCCTGGATCAAAGACCATTTCTTCAAGAACATCGTGACATTCCAGTAGCCGTTGAGGCTTTCGAGGTTTCAGCAAGGGTGAATTCGGGGTATGGTGCACACTCGTTCGGATAGACAGAGCATTTCTCAAGCGCTCGTTCTCCCGCACTAAATCTTGGTACGTTGGGGCATCTGTGGGATCTTTTCCTCTAGGCCACACAGTAAGCATCGGTTGTGGGTATGGAATGGAGAAATGGTAAACAACCTGGTGACTTCTCCGCGAACAATAACTGTTTCTCGAACGCACTTGTCTGCGTCCCCTCGACGGATGCATCTTTAAACAAGGAGAAGCCTTGTCGCACTTGACCTTCCGAGATGCGCATGACAGACAGCTTCTTGGCGCTCGTTGTGTGGTACGCAAGGTATCTGCCGTGTCGTCTGTCATGGCTGCGATGTCCCGATTGCTCGTTGCCGGAGGTGTCGGGTGAGCTCCCGGCTTACAAGGACTACCGCAGGTAGGGTTGAATAGATTCAGCCAAGGACTAAGAAACGATGGGTTGAGTCTTCACTAATCGGAATGAGAATAGAAGGTATTTGCGACTTAGTCAGTCCGTGAAGTAAACTGTCGCTCGGCAACGACCCATTAATGTGTGTTATGAGCAGCATGTTCTAAGGGAAAGTTGAAGCGATTCGGAATCTCGCCCGAACTCAGCCGAAAGCTGCAGCAGTCGATAAGATAAGCGAGATCGCAACGCTTACGTGCCCACAATTCGCGCCAAATATCCCTGTGCCCCTCATGTGCTGATCACATTATCACTCGACTTTCATATCATTCACGCTCTTTCCCAATCTCTTGCAGCCGATTAGCAGGCATTTCTTCGACAACAGTGCTCAATTTGAGATCAAGAATATTTAATCAAAGACGACGGATCTGGAAATCTGCGGGTTGTTGCGAAATGGCTCAAGGGCACGCTTTTCATGGAGCCATCATCCACTCGCTCGGACCCAACGAGGTCGAGATCCTGGAGAATGGTGGCCTTATTGTGAACGGCGATGGTGTCATAACCGAGTTTTTCCAAGACATCTCCGCGAAAGAGCTGTCAAAGAAGGTTCCTGCCGCTGCCCAACTTCGCTCAATTCCTAAAGGCCAATTCTTATCGCCGGGCTTCATCGATACGCACAATCATGCTCCTCAATGGGCCATGAGGGGTCTTGGCCAAGGCCTGCACATCCTCGACTGGCTCGATCAAGTCACATTTCCCCACGAAGCCCGATTCTCAGACCCTCAATATGCTCGGAAGGTCTACGAAAGCTGCGTCGATGGATTTCTCAAACAAGGCATTACGACGGCGTCTTACTATGGCTCAAAACATGCCGAAGCTACGCAAATTCTCGCAGACATCTGCCTATCGAAGGGCCAGCGAGCCTTTGTAGGGAAATGCAACATGGACCGCAACGCCCCCAGCTACCTCCATGATACCTCAGCTGAGTCGTCGCTGCAGGAGACGGTGGAGTGTGTGAAGCACATCAGGGACATCGATCCTACGGGAAAGCTTGTGCGCCCTGTGCTTACACCGCGCTTCGCAATCTCTTGTACCCCCGAGCTACTTGCTGGGCTGGGGAAGATGGCTGAGGAGGATACGGAACTGGCAATCCAGACTCATTTTAATGAAGCGGAGCAAGAGATCAAGGCGACACGTGAGCTGTTTCCCGAGTTCTCCAGCGAGGCGGACCTGTATCACCACTTCGGGCTACTGAACCAGCGTTCGATTCTTGCGCATTGCACATTCATGACCGATTATGAAATGCAAAAGATCAAAGATTATGAATGCGGAGTTGCTCATTGTCCGATCTCCAACATGACGGTTGGCGGTGGTTTCATGGCGGCGTCTATTCGCCAATTCCTGACAAGAGGCATCAAAGTCGGCCTGGGTACTGACAGTGGAGGTGGATTCTCTTCCAGCATGCTTGACAGCATTCGTCAAGCCGTGATCGCCTCGAATGCTCGTGAGGTAATGTCTGACGGAAACGACAAGGCGCTATCTCTGGACGAAGTCTTCTACTTATCGACGTTGGGCGGAGCGAGGGTTTGCTGTCTTGAAGACAAGATTGGCAGTTTTGCCGCGGGCAAGGAGTTCGATGCTCTATGGATCACTTGCCCGTTGGAGTCCTTCGGTGTGATGACTGTCAGGGAGGAGTCAGATACTTTGAGAACGGTGTTCGAAAAGTTCCTAATGACTGGCGATGATCGGAATATCGCACGTGTGTACGTGCGTGGAAGGTTGATCAAAGATGCGCTCTCCACATAGAGGAATTCTTCAATTGTCAAGATTAAATCAACGCTCGATTTGACCTTCAAACACGGGCCAAGCAATACGCCACGTAATCTAGACAACTTCATTCGATCCACTTCGCCAGAAATTCAGTCACCGTTTTCTGGAATAGTTCGGGCTCATCCGACGGCGGGCTATGACCTGACTTCTCGAATATCACCAGCTCGCTTTGCGGAATCCCTTGGCTGATCTCCTCGCCATAACCGACCGGCACGACCACATCGAGTCTGCCAGTGGCTACGAGAGTCGGCGCTGTGATATCCTTCAGCCTCGATCGAACATCGAAGCGGGGTATGTTGTGAGAAAAGGCAAAGTTGTGGGTTTCATAATGCAAATGATGTGTCTCCGCAACGGCGTTGCCCTCGAAAGTCAACGATGCAGATTTCGAATCTGTCGACCCATCTTTCGGAGTGTAGATGCCAACAATTTCCGCAAAGGCGTTTGCAAAATCCTCGTTGCTCCTCACGCCGCCGCTTACGAGACGCACCTGTCGATCCGCGTCTGGCTGGATACGGTCGCTGGTAAGAATGTTCTTCAAGAAGTTGATGCTTCCGCGAAGACCATTTGCCCAGGTGTCTCGAAGTACGAGTGCGAGAAGACGGTCTGGATGGGCTATGGCGTATTGAAGGGCAACGAAGCCACCGTATGAACCTCCTGCTAGACTGAACTTCTCTGCTCCCGCCCATTTTCTGCAGAACGTCAGTAATTTTCTTCAATCCGGCAACAATAAGGGTTTCCTCACCGGAGCTCATCCACATCGGCGACCCATCGGGCATCAGTGTACGGCGGTTTCAAGTCACTCTCGCCGCTTCCTCTGGCGTCGTAGACAAGCACTCTGAAGTTTGAGGCAAGAAACCCAAACGACGATTCAGGCTCCCTG